CTGACTAGGTGTAACAATTAGAACGGTTGTTCTGTCTTCAGTCATGTGTGTTTCTCAGGCTGTATTTAGAAAGCACTCCTATGGAGAAAAGATTAGATAACGTTATAATTATTGCAGTGCTTTCCTTTCACAGTGCTGAAGTCTCTCCCTGGTACTCAGATTGAAGTAAAAGTCTGAAACTGTTATTGCTCAGACCACCCCTGTATGTCATAAATGATATAGCAGTTACTGATACACTTCGATGCTTTTTGTTTTCACATGTTCTAAAACAATTAAAACAACAGGAGTAAGCTATGCTTACTTAAAGTAAATGATGTAGTTCCAGGGCTTTGATTGTCCTTAAGCAGAAGCCAGATAAAATGCTGTGGGTTTGTTCTTGCTCAGCTAGTAGCAATACCACAGAGACTGCTGCCCAAATCTCTTCTTAGCCCCAAGTTTGGTCACTGGCCAACCACAGTGACTGTGAGGGGGAATGGCATCCTGCCGCTGAATCAGTTACCTTGGGAGGACACCCTGAATTAACTGAGCTTGCTTTCCTGGACCTTTTTTCTGAGGATGGAGACGGAGTACAAAACTTTCCAAGAGCTTTTGTCAGTGTAACAACTTTGTTCCTGGTTCACTGCAGATTCGGTGCCTGGCAGATGGGCCCAGAGGTGTGGAAGTATGTCACCCTGGGGACACACCATGCATGAAACTTTACGATGATGAGAAGCACAGTCAAAGCCTCTGTGGGAGCTTCACTGGGTGAAGTTTTGGTAGCCTGTACCAGAAGTGGGTGCACAATTCTGACCCCTACCAGACAGCTGCTAACCACTGTGTGCTGGTACAGTCTGCCATTCTCAAAGTCACGATCAACGTTTCTGAGGCCATCCTGCCACACCTCTACCTGAGGAGACTGTACACAGATGCCAACGAGATCCTTTACACTTTCTCTGGCAGACCCTGAACTTAAGGGGCCCTTGATGGGACTCACGTTACTGTGCGGTGCTTGGTCTAGGGCAGCCATGATTACACAGACTGTGAGGGCTAACACTCAGCTGTCCTGCAGGCCTTGGTGGATCCACCGTGCAAAGCCGAGCAGAGGGCAAATCCCCTGCTGCTTTGGTTGCTGCAGGGATAATGGAGAAGGCCTTTGCAGCAGGAGCATCCCATCAGCATGACAATGAATTTGTTCCATACCATGCCCCTGTATGCCCAGATAAAGGAATGGCCCAGATTTTGTGCAGTAGGGACTGTGCAGAATATTGTGGGCTACTACTTTGAATTCCTCCTAATGTATAAGTTGCCTGTCTTGTGTGGCGTTATAACATGGCGTCCACGCGATCAGTACTCTTAGAAGAGATATAAGGCAGCAAACAGGAATGGAGCTCCAGGCATGGGTCTCTAACTGGGCAGCAGGCTTGGTGGGCTTGCACCCCAAGATCTGTTCATGGCCTCCATAGTGGATGTAAGTCTGCCACGCCACCCCTGAGGTCTGCTTCTTGTCCCAGCTCTTAAAGAAGAGAGTCTTTACCTCCTTTGGAGCAATACTGACCTTCTGTTTCTGTTACCTGGCAACAGTCATGAAATTAGCAAAATCGTCATAATGCCATTGACTTTTTCTGCTGCTAGAAAAGTTTTTGGCTCTCTTAAACACGTTTTGATGAGCTGTGTTGTTTGCTTGGGCCCTATCAAGCATCACCCAGGATGTTCTCGGAGGCTAAAGGGGTTGGCATCACTGTTAGACTGAGTTGCAGTCAGAAATATGGGACAACAGAAATGGCAGAGGCTCAGCATCGGAAGGAAGGCAACAGCAGATGTGACAGAATGGTGACATGATATCAAGGCAGGCAAAAAGATGGGTAACTAAGAAAGCGGAGCCACTGATGGCTAGCAGTTCCTGGTAAATGTGAAGGATGCCATTTGTCTCCTGATGCTTCAGGATTTAGCCTGATCTCTAAATGGCTTGAGAACAGCCTGCTGGTGCTTTGCATGCTTGGTACTAGTTGGAAAACTTCACAGTGGCAAGGCCACTCAGTGGCTAGGGTTTGGAAGTCCTCCTTTGGGGTTGGCATACTTTAAATACAAACACAGAGCAGAGCTTATGCATTGGCTTCATTCTGAAATAGTCTGGTTAATACACACAACTGCTCTCTGGTTTGAACTAAATGCGTACTCATTGCAGACAACCCAACATTACCTCTCAGAACCACTCTAAGCCAGACCCCTAAATTACAGGCACTTAGTTCTGTTTTGAAACATGGCCAAGATTTTAACTGTGTTATTCAAAGCTTTCATTTTGTCAGAACAAGATTTTAAAAAGATATAGTCTGCCTTACTACCAAATGGGTGAAGCTGTATCTTTCACTGGCTTGGATTTTAGTGTGGGCAGATTGTTATTTTAAACAAAGGAATGTATCAACGATTGTGTCAATGGTTTAAAACACAGTTTATGAGTATGAGGTACACATTTCCTGTATACACTTCTTTCAGTTGCCCAGCTGATTTAATTTTTCTGTTAGAAATATCAGACTAGGACTTTGGTCCCTCTCCAAGTAATCCAGAATTTTAAGACTTTTATCTTCGTGTAATTATTCTTTCATGCCAGTAAGTAGTGGTTTTCCTGTGAAACATTAGTTATATGCTTTATACTAGAATCAGTGCCCCTTGTTGATAAGTTGACGGGAGATGTCTGTCACTCTGTGGAATGCTAATTACTCTGTCCTCTCTCCTTGAGCCTAGATACCTGGGGAGTCTAGCAAGTGTGGCTAATGAACAACACATGCAGTGGCTGTGGGACTTCAGTGGGAGGAAGCCCTTTTGGATAGGCAAGTACATCAGGATTCATGCATCCGAGCATTACAGTTCCTGTGCACCTTGGAAAGCAGAAACTGCTGCGTCAGATCCAGCCCAGTTTTCAAATGTTGCATTGTCCTCAACTTTCTGCTGCTTTTATTATTTCAGAGCAAGGCATTAAACTGAAAGCCAAAATTTACCTGGCCAATTTTATAAGTCTTTATCAAAAAGAAGAGTTTATCATGTTATCTATTGCTGGGTTGTTTTTGCCTTGAAACTTTTCCCATTTTAATAATAGCTGGGAAAATAAGTTCTAGTGGAGCTCCTACTCTTTTGTTTCTCTCACCTTTCTTTTGACTGTTACTTTATTTATCTCTAATTTACCTTTTTTTTAACTTTGCTTTAAATAATTACTTATCTTACTGCTAATTCAGTGGTGTCATCTTGTATCAGAAATCTTGTGAATTAATTAGATGATCAATTAAATAAGATTTCATCACATCATTTTAGATTTAGCTGTCTATTTCTTACTATGCAACTTTCATTTAATGAGAAATGGGAAGAACTGAGATGGGCTTTCTCTACCTCCTGATCCCTTTCTGTGAACAACTGCCTTAGCGCATGGACCAGTGCTATTGCCGCCTTCTAACCTGTCTTGCTTCTGGTATACTGTCCACATTTTATGTTCTTTTTTCCAATTGTGAACTGCCATTTTCAGCTCTTAGTAATTTTCTGAGATTGATTTATTAGCTATACTAAATTAACTTTAAAAACTACAGTTAGTTTGGGATTATGTTTAATAGTATCATGATTCTGACAGGTCATGTCTGAAAATATGCCACCCATGGTGGTCTTAGTAACTCAGAGGCTAAGTGAAAAGACATGTTTTACTCTGTGTTAATTAGCACAACCTAATTTTACAACTGTTAATTTCAACAGTGTAAACAAGGTCGAAAAAGATCTGTAGGATTTTATTTTCAGGAGGCATCCAAAGGCTTCTGAGGCTGCGCAAACTTGAGTACAACATTCTGCTTGGCATCTTAAGTATCAAAAGAGAAACCTGGGAGGTGATAGATGGAAACAGAGAAAACATTTTAGATAGGCAATAATAAGGAAAAGTACATTTCCCTTATTCAGATGGTACTAATTGCCTTATGAAATACTAGATTTTATTTTACTTGTATTCTTCCAGATGTTTTTTTTCTCTCTCAGGACAATATTGTACGCATTTTTTAACAAAGGGATAGAACAATATGCTTCTGTTGGCATCAGGCTACAGAAATTATAAACATCACTGATTTGGCCTTACCAATTTCACACAGGCTTGAATGACCAAGTCAATCCTGGACATTGGGAGTGGAACGGAGGAGAACCTGTAACATACGTAAACTGGAGAAGAGGCTCCTACCACTTTCCAAAGAGAGGAAGAAACTGTGCATTGGTGCAGAAGCGAGGAAAATGGCAAGCAACTGACTGCAGGAAGGTCAAACGGAACAGCTATATATGTTCAAGAAAGCTGTAAAGAATGGAGGATCCCTGTGAAAGCATGTGGACATTCATGTTGTTTCAGTTTTCTTTATCTGCAGACATGTGAGAGTATGCAGTTACAAAACTGTCCTAATTATCAGCAAGGTTTATTTTATATGCTGCCAGAGGTGCAGATGCATTGGACCCTAACTACGGAATAGAGGTCAGTTGCAGAGATTAAGTCCAGGTTAAGGTTGTGAACTCTCCCCAAAGACTTTGTTCTGTCACTTATATGTATTTTTACACCAAAGAGCTAGGCCTGAAGGCTTCAATCACATTTCTGTGTAAAAATACCTACTTTTTTTTTAAAAAAAGAAAGTAGTACATCAGTTGATTTGCTTCACTCTTAAGGAAGGGCTGTGAATTGGCTGTTGTTTTAATTCGTTTGCAATAAAAACTATTTTTACCCTGCAGTTACAAAATGAGGAAGACTGCTTGGGGTGGAAATGAAGGCGGGCTGTGCTGGCTAAAAACAGATCCTCTTGGGTGATGAGGGGAGGGACATTATGTCAGGAGACTGGGGCTGCTTTGGTGGATGGCCTAGTACAATGCCTTATGAAAATACCAACAGCAAGATTTAGTGATAGAGTACCAACAGAGGCAAAGCCTTCTGTTTCTTTTTCTACCTCCCAAAGCCGGCTTCAGATCCTAGTAGATCTGCTCACACAGAGCTGCATATTTTTTCACATTCCTAACCAAAATTGTTCAATGTTTTTTGGAGTTGCAGGATGGTGCTGTAATTTTTAGTGTAATTAAATAATGGGACCTCTGTAAATTTAATGCTATATCAAAGGACGATTACACAAAAAAATTAATACTGAAGCTTAATCCTAGAATATTATCTTGGGATATGCAGAGATACATGTACATCAATAGGATTTATATGTGTGTATAAACCAATGTAATCGTGAGACATATTTTGTACTAAAGCAGCTATGGCTTTTGAAAAGTATTACTCTAAGTCCTTATTAGGGATCTGAGGTTTTTAAAAATAATAATAAAAAAATCCAGATTTAGTTCTGAGAAAGGCGTAAAAATCAGCATTTAATAGGAAAAAACAGCTGTCCATAACTTAATTTTAACTTATTTTAAATACATGCAGTTGCAGTGTTACCATTTTGTAACATTATAGAAAATTTATATTTGACCTGTCAAAAATCTTGCTTTAGGACCATCTTACTGCCACCCTTAAAATTAAAAAAAGGAACAAATCATAAGCTTTCTAAAAAAATTTAAAGCTCGTCTCACACCCTCCTTCTGCCCATGATGCATGTGTGACAGTTGGTGTGGCACTGAGTAGGGTGAATTTGCCCTGTACCTTACTAACTCTCATCCTTCCCATCTGCCTGCCTGCCTGCTGCCAGCAGTTGATTCTCCCCTTGTCCCCTGTCAGCTTGTCTATTCGGCCAGCCTCTGGATCAATTGCATCTATACCAGAGGTGCAAAACCTCCTTCTGGGGTTCCTCACAGCAATTTCTCAGTCCTGTGAGGGACAGATGCAGCAGAATCACCTCTGCTGATGAAGACTGAGGGATGCTTTTCCAGGGATTTTTTTATCCCTCTTCCTCGCCTTTGGCATGTGTGGGTTATTTATCCTTCCCCCTTGCCTGTGACATGTTAAATGAATATGCATGTCAGCAGCTGAACAGTATATATAGGAGAGAACTTTTCTGAAAGGACTGTTGCAGATAAGCACGAGTGCATGGCAAAATTGGAGGAAAAATACTGTGGACAGAACCTCATTACCCTTATTGTTGGTATCAACAGATACAGACAAAAATACCTCCAGGATTTTTTCTTTTTTGTCATGCTAATCTTTAAGCCAAACTTCTAGACACTAACAATTTTGCTTAAGGAGTTTTCTAGATCAACATAGGTAGGTTAATTGTTTCAAGAATTCCCCAAACTAAGTACCTCTGTGTACCCATCTAGACCTGCTTTTATTTCTGACAGTTTTCACTGAAAAAAAAAATCAGGATCTAAAAAAGCACTTGCTGTTGCGTTCTGGAATTCCAGGGAAAATTGACTAAGAGAGCTTGGTTAGATATAAACATAAACTTTTATTTCTTTAGGGCCTTCTTTTTATAAAAACTGCTGTGTTTATTGGTGCTATCTTGACAAAACCTGTCAAGATTATTTAAATACCTCTCCTAATTATTTAATAAATGAATGACATGAACAGAGAGGGAATTTTGACCAAAGTCCTTGTTACTTGACCAGTAACTAATAAATGACTCATACCTAGTCTGAGACAACAGTGATCTCGGAGGCTTGCTTTTGTGAGAAGAGGGGAGAATTTCCCTTTTCTGTATTTCATTTGAGCTACTTTAAAGTAATTGAAGAGTATGAAGATTTCAGTACACAACAGACTGTTAGTCGTGCCAACTGTATGTGTTTATTGGTTTCATTAGATCTAATACAATACACTAATGAAGCTAAAATTCTCATTATTGCAGTACACGGATATTTCTGCCCTGAAAGGCTGCTGAATTATTTTTCAAAACAATGAACCATTCCAAAGATTTATTCATAATTTTTAATCTGTCTGTCCTTAAAAATGAAGTATTTTTTCACAGATTTTTACAGCTTTTGTTAAAATACCGGAGTTCAAAGAATAGGACACGCTCAGATCAGAGAAAGCACAAATAAATCACTTCTTCCGTTGCCATAGGAAGTTGTTGTCTCTAAGGGCTTTAGTAAAGAAAGGGCCTAAAATCCTGAGAAGTCATGGGGAATTTTTCCAGTCTTCAATATTTTTGAATTAGACTCTGAGTAAACTCAGGGGAAAAACAGTATTCAGAGGAACAGCATCAGCAGGGGAATTTCAAGAGGCTGAAAGTAGGAACAAGGAGCATGTAAATTCTGGTGTTCACCTACGGATGCCACACTTTCTGGATAAACAGAGGATTTTTTTCACCAGAATTATCCAAATGCCTTTTAAGAGCAACAGAACCAAGACGCAGCAGCTCAGTGAAAAGACCCAGCGGTTAGCCTAGATTTCTATAAAGGGATGGGCAATGCGAGTTCTTTGTGTGCCTGTCACTTTTAACCACCTTCTCTCCCTGTCAAGTATCTTTTAAATCGGTTGACCAAATTCAAACAAATTTTACAGAGAAGCAGTCAACTCAAAGACAATGGCTTTGAAAAAAATTGATAGGCAATTGGCCACACAAGCACTTCTTCCAAACCAAAATATTCTAAACCATTTGTGTTGTTATTAACCTCATGAAGATCAAGTTTTTAATCTGAAAAAAATCAGAAAAGTTTTCCAGATCGCTTTTGTATACACTGCAACTTAAAGGAATGCCTTCAAGTCTTTATTCACTCATTCTAAAATTATAATAATAGCTTTGAGAGAATTATATATATAATTCACTGAATACTGTGATTCTAGATTATTTACATCGCAAGACTGGTGCTATTGTAATTCCTGTATTCAGAACACTATAGATATTGTTATGTTTAACTTTGTAATGTGTGTTAATACAAAATGGAAACATATTTTGGTGAATATGTATTTCTTCAGTTTCATAATCTCACAAAAGCTTTTTATCTAGTGATAAAACCCATAGCGTTGGGCATAGTAGAAATGTACTTATAGTTAAGCATAATATACCTGCTGGTTACTCTTATGCAGTTTCTGAATTCTGTTTCTTCTTATGCATGAGTCTATTCCTGAATTAATATTCAAAGGACATTTGTATTGTGAGCAAACCATTTTTAAAAGAGAAAATGCTGTTTACTTTGAGAAGTAAATTTAAGAAGAGTTGCAGATCTGCAAACAGATACACAAGAGGAAGAATGAATTCAAGAAA